GAAACATAAACTTGGCGTGTGTCCATTTATATGAAATGAAAATTGTTACATTTTTTTCCACTGTTTTCGTTGTCGTTGATAATGATGATGATCGAAATGATTGACAGCCGATTGTCATTGTTTTTCAGGTCCATTTGTTGTTCGTTATGTGTGTGTGTGATGTGTTTGATGTGTCACCAATTAACAAATCATTATTTTTGTTGTTGTTGTTGTTGCTGTTAAACATTTTGCCCATTGTCGATTATATCCGATTCAATCAAAGAAAAAAAAATGCTGCCGCAAACAATCGATCTATTTTGATCGAATCTTTTTTTCTGTTCTGTTGTGTTCACTGACAGACTGATTTTTGTCAATCTGTTGTTGTTTGACCTGTTTTTGATCACCATCATTGGGCATCATCTTCTGCACAAAAAAAAACGAAGATCTTTATGAAAAAAAACACATATTGAGATTCTATTATCAGCGATCCGTTTTCTTTTCAATCTTGATTGGTGTTTTTTTTTTTTTGATAAAAAAAAATTCGATCATCATTATTATTTGGCGAGATTGTTGTTGTTTTGTTATTTCGTTTTTTTTCATTATTTGAATTGAATAAAACTTGATAAATTGACTGAACAATTTTTTTTGTGTGCGTCTTTTTTTTCATCTTTTATTGTTCAATTGTTGACCATTCAATTTTCTTGATTTTCGATTACAAAGTATCTGTTTTCGTTATTGTTGTTGTTGTTGTGGTTGTTGTTATTTTTTCAATAATCAAAAGCAATTCGGCTAATAGATTTTTCTTCTTTTGCCTTAATTGATGGTTAATTGAATCCGAATTTAGCCACAAACACAAAGAAATTATGATTTTTTTTCTTGGCTGATATCAATCATTCAAGCAGATAATTTTAAGAATGGTTTAGTCATTGAACCGTCAAGTTTCAAGTGGATGATTATGATGATGATGATTTATTTAATCCAATAAGCTTCAAAGAATCACCGGATGTTTGGTTTGGATAAATGATTATGATGATGGTCGATGATACAAAAAAAAGGGTTTCGGTTATTGTGCCAAATGGACAAATTGATATCGGAAATCGAATATATTTTCAAATGTTAATTTTTCAGGTGATTATTTTCGTTTAATACACTGGATATATATGTACAGAACAATGATCATCATAATGATGATTGACCATTTCGCCACTAGATGGCGACAACATACTGATGGATTGTATTTTTTTTTCAATCATTATCATCACTCATTTGTTTTCATCAAAACAAAAACAAAAACGAAAAAAGTTTAAATTCCATTTAAAAACAGCCAAACAAAAACAAAATGACTTTGGCGACAATCAACAAATGATAATTTTTAATACCTGACTTTTTTTTTGTTTCAATTTCACCTGAAACAAACAAACAAAAATACGTAAAACGAAACGAAACGAAGGAAATATTCAAGCTTGATGCTTATCAGCAGTTTTTTTTTGAACAAAAAAACAACAAGAAGAAGAAAAAAAGTCTAGTCAAAATTGTCATCGTCAACTCTTTCGTCATCATTATTTTTTCAATATAAAATACACGCTGTAAATGGAGGAAAATTTCATTGCTGAAGACAAAGAATTAAAAAAGAAAAAAACAAAAAGATACATGTTTCAAATGTTTGATGATTTTTAATTGCCAAACGAAAAACAACAAGAAAATAAATCAACAATAAATCGACAATTCAAATGGTATTTCATGGTTAAAAATGAAATGAATGTATGGCGTTTTTTTTTCTTTTGATTCACGAATTCATTTTGAAATGGCCAAATTTTAATTACATTTTTCTTTTTGTTTCTTTTTGTTTTTTTTTTTTTTTCATTTCATTCCATTCCATTCATTCATTCATTCATTCGATTCAATTAATTCAGTCCAAAATGATGATTTTGAATCGATTAAATTGATGTGACAATTTCATTTCCATTGACCAAAAACAAACAAATGGAAATGGCTAGACATGTGTTTCCGAATCTTGATCGTGAAAATGTAACATTCAAAAATTCCAAAAAAACAACAACAACAAAAAATCCACGAAATCTATGGCCCATCTATGAAACGACCAATGGATGATGATGATGAAGATGAAAGCAAAAATGCCGACTGTTTTAACATTTTTTTTTTACAGGAATAATGATGCCAGTGTGTGTGTGTGTGTGTAATGAGAAAAAAAGGTGAAGAAACAAGATTGATTTTTGAGCAAGAAGCACGTTCGTTTATAATCATAATGATGATGATGAAACACTCGATGGCAAATTAACAATATATCAGCCAACAATTCAGTCCATGAGGCCAGAAATATTTATTTTGGCCCCTGAAGACAAAAAATTTTTTTCTCAAACCAACGAACGAATAATCATTATTTTCAAATCTTACCTAAGACCTAGGAATAGAACAACAACCAAAAAAAGAAAAACACTTTGAACTACTTTCCACCAAAGTGAAAGGTGCGAGAATAGGGCTGGCCATCGCCACCGCCACCACCATCATCATCATCCTAATCAATAGTCCTAATTGAATCGAAGACCAAAGAAATTCAAAACGAAAAAGAGAAAAAAAACGATCGTGTGCGGGCTTTTTACAACAACAGAAAAAAAAGAATCAACAAAAATGCCTTGCTTCTGGTCTGTCCATCATTATCATCATCGTCATCATCAACAAAATTGGCCGCATTTCATCGATCTTTTTCGTCGTCACTAGCCGACCATCAAAAAAAAAAAAAAGACCAAAGAGAAAAAAACAAAATAAAGACAATCTCATTTGAGAGTCAATTTTAGACGAATTAAAAACAAAATTCTTAATTGCTTCAGCTGAAAATGTATCGATCTCTGACGAATATAATCACATTATTAATCGTCAGGTTCATAAATGGTGAATGATTTTGAATTTTAACAAATATATCCATCGCCATCTATCGATGGCCATCTTAATCAATGAGAAATTTAAGTTTTGTTGGAATAAAATTTAAAGAATTTCTGACCAGAAAATGAGAAATAATCAAATCAAGAAAAAAAAATTTTGTTTTGTTTTGTTTTTTTTTCATCGGTGTAAAAATTACAATTTTCGGCAAATGGTGATGATGATGGTGCTAGTGTGAATATGGATCGGCCCTAATTAATAGGTACCAATGTGCCGACAATGAACAAAGAAGAAGAAAAAAGGTCAGCCATGTAAACCGGGCCTGAAATATTGATTGCTGATGATGGCCACACACACAAGGTGTCACACACACACATGCATGCATGCACAGGTAAAAGAAAATGAAAAGAAGTGAGAGGTGTTTTTGTGTTCGGGCGCCGACATAAATTTCTCATTTTTTTGAGAAAAAAATTCGTGATGATGATCGTTGGTTCATCAGATTTTTTGATCATCATGCAATTTTGTAATTCATTGAATTCATTTTCCAATAGGAAAAATTTCGGGAACAAAAAAATTAATAAATTTTTGAAATTTTTTTTCTTCTTTTCATTGATTCACAATATCGATTGATATCGACGGAATCTTATTATTCATCATGATGATGTCAACAGGTAATTACATCTATAGTGAAAGAAATCTGAGCCCTGTCACTGTGTGTTTGACCTTTGAAATGTTTACGAAAAAAAAAATTTTTACATATTTTTTTTTCTCACCTTATAATTTAGAAAATTTTTTCTTTTGTTTTGTTTTGTTTTGTATTTTCCACCGAATGAATACAATAATGCTTGGCTTCTAATAATAAATCGGATCATCAGCCAAAAAAAAATTTTTCTGCGGTATTTACGGCCAACGGGTTGTTGTTGTTGTTTGATGGTGGTCAACAACAATTCATTGGTTTCTCGATTTATTTGGTATTGTTGTTGTTGTGTATTTAAAAGTCGGCAATTCATTCTTTGATCCTTTTATTTTCTGGCCAACAGAAAAATGATGATGATGATGAAACAAAATGTTGAGAATAACACAACACAAAAACAAAAAACAACGACAATAACAACAACAACAAGAAAAATCTACAGGCGGTCCATGATGATGATGATGATGATGAAAAGCTTCTAATCGATGGGCGTAGGTCATCGGTGTTCATTAGGTTTTCTTCATTCCACTAAAAAAGCACCGTTTTCACTAGTCATTGTATTGCTTTTCATCCAAAATCGATATATCGATAATGATGATGGTGGTGATGGTAGTAATAAATTAGTTTACACTTTTTTTTCGCTTTGAAAGTTTAAGATTCGATATTTTGATGATTAATCAATATAACACCTTTTTATATATATAGCGGATGGCGTGTCTTTTTGTTGTTGTTGTTGTTTATAATTAACGTATTATGTGTGTGCGTCTTGATCATCGATCGATGTTTTGAAGGTCACCACGATTTTCATTATTTCTATTTTTTAAAATGAAAAAAAACAGACCTAGCCTATCATCTTTCAATCTCACAATGTTGAGATATGGTTCAAATCAGATTCATTTTTGTTTGTGTGTGTGTTTGGACGTGAACTGTGTATATCAAGAAACAAGAAACTTAACACACACACACACACACACAGTCGGGGACCACCAAAAGTGTTGACACATCGAATTAGAATCGGCATTCAACAACAACAACAACAACAACAAAAAAGACGAAATATAAATATGAAACTTGAAAAAATAATGAGGAAATGTCGTCGCGACTAATGTCATGGATCATCATCATCATGGTGATGATGAGAAAAAAAACCACAAATCTCAACAAGAATTTTCACATTAATTGAATTTATTAAGAATTAGAATTGAATCAAAAAAAACAATCGTGAGATACATTTAATTAATCGGTAATTAAGGTGTTATCAAAATAAAATATGCGCGATTATAAATATGATACATATATAAGTTTGTTTTTTGTTTGTTTTTTTTCCATTTTTTTTTTCTTGATTGATTGATTTGTGAGAACATTGAAAAATTGATGATGAAATTGTGTGACTAAAATATTTACATCAAATATAATAATATGAGTAGGAGAAAGATCAATTTTTTTAGGCTACTGATGCAGTTTCATTTGTTGTGGAACGTTTCGGTGATGTTGATGAATTATTGATGGTTACATCAATCATCGTGGTGGTTATATTATTATTATCCAATTCTTGTTTTATTGATTTTGAATCTGGTGATAATTCCAACATTCGTGATATTGATTTTTTTTCTGTTTCAATGTTTGTTTTTGTCGTGAAAAATGTATCCGGTGATGGAATCTGTTTATTATTGTGTATTATTGGTCCCAAATGATGATGATGATTGGATGTTGGTGATGTTGATGGTTGTGGTGGTGGTGGTTGATGTGATTGTGGTTGCTGTTGTTGTTGTTGAGCGGTGGACATTGTTGGACCATTTCCATATGCAGCAGCAAATGCAGCCCATAATTGTGGATTCGTTGCCAATTGTGTTGCAGCTAAATTAAAATTTGATGATCCATTTAGATTTGAGCTTTGATGAACAGGTGATGAATCGGGTGGTGGAATGCGTCCATTATTATTATTATTGCCTGATAACATTGCTGCAGCATACCATGGATTTTGCATATAAATCTGTTGTAATTGTTCAATTGATGGTGATGATTGTGGCTGTTGTTGTTGTTGTTGCTGTTGTCCGGTTGCTTTTCCACCAGATGATGGCGGTGGTGGTGGTGGTGGTGGTGGACATGCTGGTACTGACCATAACATTGATGGATTCGATGCAAATGGATGGCTACCAACAGGAAATTGTTGACCAACAATATCAGAAAAATTGGCTGGATTTCCCGTACCTGGTGGTAATCCAAATAGCATACGTTCACGTATAAAATTTGCCATTCTTGGATCAGTAATATCTGGATAACCGGGTATTGGTGGCATACTAAATGGTGATCCAGTAGCGGCGGCAGCAGCTGCAGCTGCAGCAAAAAATGATCTAGCCGTAAAACATTGATCGGTCATCATTGATTCCATTGTTTCACTGTTGTTATATAAAAAGTAAATCATTAGTAATGAGATCGAGAGAAAGAGAGAAATAAAAAAAAACTCGAAAAACAAGATCATAAAACACACACACACACCACTGAACAAGAGAAGAAATAAGAACGAAGAAAAAAAAACTAAAAAAATTAATTTCAAGACAAGGACAGTGTGTGTGTGTGTGTGGCTTCACTCTTCTCTAATCGTCATTCTCTTAATCCGTAAATTAATGGCTAATTTGCTACGACTTTCATCAAATTGTTAATAATACGTCGTCAAATTAAATCCGTTTATTTTATTTTTATTTTTTTTTTCAAGGATTTCAAAACTCTGACCACTTATGTATTGATGCAAAAACCCCATCATTCAACACAATGATAATTGAATTAAATCAAGAAAAAAAACAAAACAAAACAACAAAATGACATTTTGGATGATAAATTTTCTAAAAACTGAATATTTCCAGAAAATTTGTATCAAAAAAAAACTTTTGTAGATCAAAAAAAAAATAACAACAATTTCCGTTCAATCAGCTGCTGTCCATCAATTCAGAAATGATTAAATTTTTTTTGTGTTCGTTTCAATGGAAAAAAAAGTAGCAGCCGACATTTTTGAGCAAGAAAAAAAAGTGATCACTGACCGGCTGATCACGATCCAATCATGATTTGATTTTTTTTTCTTCTTCTTTTTCTTCAAAAGCATCGATGAAAATATTAAAAAAAAAATAGAAATTTTCCATGTGTGTGAGTGTGAAATCAATGAAAGAATGAAAAAAAATGAAAAATTTCCAATGAATAAAAGTGGCCAATTTATATGTCATCATCATCATCATCATTGAGTTAAAGTGGTAAGGATGAGCTTTTGATGTTTGATGTATAATCAATGTTTGGCCATAGCCATCATCATCATCATCATCATCATCATCAACCGAAACCAATATATATATCTTTACGAGCAAAGAGAAAAAAAAACTGACCTAACCATAATGGAAGATCGTGATTAGTACAACCTCGTCGTGTTCATCATCATCATCGACTTGTGATGATGGCTGATTTTTTTTCCTGATGATTCGTCTTTAAGAAGCCGGCCTCATCAACATTTGAAACAACAAAGAATTGATCAAAAAAAAGGCGAGAAAATTACCCGAAAAAAAGAAATTGACCAAATTTATCCCTTCCATCTATTTATTCAACAATCAGAATTTTTTTTTTTTGCTGGTTGATTTAAACTAGATCAATCACTGAATATAATAATGTCATCGTGTATATGGCCAAAAGCCAGCCAGCCAGCAGCTGCATTGTGTTGATGTTTTTGGCAATCAAACATACACACATATAAATATAAAAAAAAGATAATTGCAGCAACGACGAAATCAAATCAAAAAAAAAAAAAAATCCCAAATTGATCCACACATGGTCAAAGATCAGCAAAAAAAAAAAACCAAAACCAAAAATTGATGCGTCGGCCAACACAAAAAAAACGGGCAAGCCGATCAGAATACACATGTGCTTCAATCAAGTGATGCTAAATTAGTCGCACACACACACACAAACAAAAACACAAACAGACCAAAAAAAAAAGTTTCAATATTGTGTAAAAGTGTGCGCTAAAATGATGAAATGGAAAAAAATCCAATAATGTGTGTGTGTGTGTGTGATGTTTTACCTAGCACGGTAAATTAGTCAGAAAAAAAAGAAGACGAAAAAAAAATTTCACATTGAAATTATTCGTGTGTGTGTGTGAGAAACTCATTACCTATCTAGAGGAAAAAAATTGATTATTATTTCAGACGATAATAACTGTCTGTGTGTGAACGAGTATAGTGATGATCAAATAGAGTTTGACCGCATCATCGATTGATGATCAAGAGAATTTTTTCGTTGTTGTTGTTGCTGTTGTTGTTGATTAGGAAAATGATGCACTGGTCATCGAGGCAATTTACAGTGTGTGTGTGTGTGTGTGTGATAGTGTTAATTAATATCACTAATTAATATTGATTATAATCATCATCATCATCATCAAAAGGATCGATTATAATTTATTCGAAAATATCATTTTTCATTTTTGTTTCGAGAGAAAAAAAAATTTTTTTTCCCAATAGATTTTCACATTCTCGAATCGATCAATCATTTTTTCTCACTTCTATCTATGGGGCGTTTATTTCTTATTTTTTTTTTCTTTGAATATTAATGATTTACAGTGTGACTTTTTTTTCCATCATCATTCTTCGGTGGTAAAGAAATTGTTTTCAAAATAAAAAAAAAATTCAAATGATCCAGATCACCGGTTCAAACAAACATGTGTTTGTCATGATTTGGTCAACATGTATGTAGTCAAAATGCAAAAAAAAAAATCGCCCCACACATATAGACACACACACACACAGCCAGCAGATGTGTGACAATTTTTTTTTGTTCTTCGGAAAAAATGAAAAAAAAAAAATTTTTTTTTTTGAAATCTTTAAAAATTCATCAAACAGAAAAGTACACAAAACATTAATCAAAAAGATGATTAATTTGAAAATTGAAAATTTTTCTTTTTTTGGTTTAAACCAAAATGAAAAAATGGCTAAACTTTGCATTCATCATCATCATCATCATCTTGATCATTAATGTTTGGGAAATGTTTGTTCAACAAATAAATGGAATCTGGATTATTAAATTGAGAAACATGAGATTCTGAATTCTTTTGAACAACAACAACAACAACAACAAAAATTCATTCATAGTCGATGAATGAATAAAATGTTATGCTCGGAAAAATTTGTTTTCATAAAAATCTTTTTTTTTTTTTTTTGATTGTGTGATAATATCTCACCAGTGGGAGCAAGAGAGGGTAGGTTATGATCCATGATGATGATATTGTTATTGTAGCACGCGACCATCAAGTTTGTTGTTTTGAGCATCTTGAGCATCTTGATTTTTTTCTTTTTTTGGCTACTTGAAAAGAATTTCGTTTTTTTTCTGATGAGAATAAGAATCATTTGTGTGTGTGCGATATGTGATACATCATAAATTATAAAAAAAAAAATTCAAAATTTGATTCATTAAGAATTCAGTAATGTTTTGTGGCTGGCTAGTTGTTATTATTTCTTTGTTGAAAAAGTTCATATCATCAATAATCATCATTGACTTCTTTTTTTTCAAGATTTTCAAGATTTTTTTTTTCGGTTTTGCATACCAAAGCAGTGAAATTATGGTAATTTTATCGTCCTCCCTGTTTTTTTGCTGCTGTTGCTGCTCACTCATGTGTTCAATGTATCCATGTACACAAACACAAAGATGTGTTTATCATCCAAAGAAAAAAAATATCCATCATCAGAGAGACTCGAACTTTGACATTTTATTACACACCACACACATACATAAGACATCATCATCATCATCAATAGAACAATAACCTTGAACAAAAACAAAATAGAATGATGATTCACAAAATAAAATCATCAAGAATAATTCGAAAAAAAAAAAAAATACCAAAACACCACACACAAACACACGACACAATGATGATGATGATGAAATGATAATCGTAAAATAAAAAATTCCATCAAATGTGATGATGATCACCATGATGACAACAAATAACAAAATCACTGATCATCATGGTGGCTTTTATTTTTACCGTCTGTTTTTGTGTTTCTTCGGTAATCGGCCACACATACACTCAAATCATATACATTTGTATATCAATAACCAAAAGCAACAACGAAATTCTTTGTTGTTTTTTTTTTTGATTATGGCCAATCAAGATTTTGCACTGAAAAAATATTTTTTTGGTAAAATTCATGAATGAATGGACATGGAAATGTTAATGTTTGATGAATCGTTTGTTTGTGGAAACAGAGAACAAGTCACCACAAGATAAAGAAACGATTAGATGTGACATGGATATCGAGAACAAGAGAAATAAATCAGAACAACAACAGTGTGGTTGTTGTTGTTGTTGTTGTCGATTTCGTTTTTGTTCAGAATTAATGATCAACAAAACTGAAGAAAAAAAATGATAGTGACAAGTGGACAATTTGTTTGTGACAAATTTTGTATTTACAATCAATCAATCTACTGATTTATCGAAGAACTAATTTGGTTTTTTTTCCGAGTTTCATTCATCATATTTTTTTTGTTTGGTTGTTTTCTAATACTACACACATATTTATGGCATTGAATATAACAGGATTATTGAATTGCGAATCAAAAAAAAAAAAAAAAACGATCATGGTGGTATTCACTATTCTCATGATGAAATTTTCAAATGAAAAGTGGCTTTACCTTTCACTTGTCAAAGATTATCATACCAAAATTGTAAATGACATGACTGAAATGATTTGAAAATCATCATCAAATTTACGTAGTTTATTAATTACATTCAATTAAATGAAAAAACCAAACGAAAAAGAAAAAGAAATCAATCGAAAGCATGAAAAAAAAAAAATTCATCACAGCAAGTAAGCAAATCAAGCAGCGACAGGAAAGAGAGAAGAAAAAAACAAGAAAAATTATTGTAATTTTCTCTAGAAAATGTCTTGTGAATCAACAAGTGAAATTCTTACGTGTTATGAAATCTACAACTTGTTGCATGCAGAAGAAAAAAAAACGACAACAACCAGAAAGATTTATATCTATTATATCGGCCGAATCATAGGATAAATGATGATTATGTTTTTTTTCGCCTCAAAGTTCTACACACACACACACACACACAAAAAGTTGTCGATGCATTCATTATTTTAACACTTAATCTTCTCATTTAAATACATTTTGTTATACAGCAGGAAATTCAATGGAAACAAAAAACAACTTACCGATCAAGATCGGATAAACGGCTAGAATCACGGAATCCTTTTGCAAATGGATTGGAATCAATTTTTAGTTTAGTTATCTGGGGGGAAAAAAATTCAATTTAAAATTTAAAAAAACAAAATTTTTCGCAAAAAAAAACAACTTACCAATTGATTTTGATAGGCAGTAACGGCTGTGAATACCGTTTCAGGAAATATAAATGTACGATGTAATTCGGATTCAATATCAGTGATTGGCATATTGAAATATTGTGGATTTTTTCTTATTATCAAATGTATACGTGGTTGATAACGATGCATTGAATTCAGTACAATCTATATGAATGAATGTGAACAAATGAAACAAAAACAAAAAAAAACATCAATTTATGCAGATTAGATTATTAGATAATTCTGAATGAAAAAAAAATCTGACTCAATGATGGTGATGATGATAATTCGACGCCATCATCATTATCATTATCGTTGTCGTCGTGGTTCATAATAAAAAAAAAATTGATTTCAAATGAAAAAAAAAACATTAAAAACCGCCCTAAAGCGACAAATGGTCATTTATCAGAAGAAAAACATGTTTTTTAGCAAATCAAAACGAAAAAAAAATACCAAATTATTTTCAATTAATAATCGAAAATTTTGTTGAAAAAATGTATCATTTTAATGGCGTCGATGATAATGATGATGATTATGGTGATTATTACGCGTGTACATGTTTCGACTAATTGCTTTACGATGATGGACTGCATAACAATTTTTTTAAATTTATTTTGAATTAATTTATCATCATCATGGTTCATGATCATCAAAAAAAAGTGTCATGTGAAATGCAGAGAAAAAAAAACGTGTTAAAGATGTTCAGGTGTGTACAATTTTCAAATCAAATCAAATGATAATTATCATTTGAGACTTTTTCTTTCTATATCGATCTTCGATCATCCGATCGATTGATTGATTGATCAATAAACATTTGACATTCAATCAAACTGGGTCCGTCGGTCCGACTGGACTTTTAATGTCATAATTGGAAATTAGCGATTAACACACTCTACACACAAACGGTGGAAGAGAGCTAGAGAAAACACAACTTTCAAAGCTTCTTTGACCAGTAAAAACAAAAAACCAGATCGAAATAATTATCTAAAATGAAAATGACATTTATACAAGGTCATCATCATCATCATCATATGATGATTATTTTACAATAAAAAAAATTAGTAAAATGTTTTAGGGCTTGTTACAAGTGTTTGTGTGTGTGCGTCTAATCTGTACCAGAAAGAAAAAAAAATTCAAAAGAATCATTGTATGGACAACACAAACATATAGACATCAATCTGATTATTATCATCATCAAACCTTCAAAAATGACGAAGAAAATAAAGTCAGTAAAAAAAAAACTGTCAGTTTGATGAAAAATAAAGTGAGAGAAAAACACTTATGGCCACCACCACCACCACCACCATTATTGCATTAAATGTTCAATGATAATGGACACACACACACACACAAACACAGGTAAAACATGCGACAAGCTGATAAGACCAACAACAAAAAAAAAGATGCCAGATTTGAAGGCAAACAAAAAAAAAGTCGTTATTTCAAGTCCAATTTGTGATACTACCGCTGCTGAAACCATAAGATTAGATGTTGATCATTAGTTTTTTTCCCAAAGTGGAATGAATAAAAAAAAATTGATCATACAATTTTGTTCAAACAATTAGAAAACCATTTAAGTGTAATAAAAAAAAAAAAAAACAGGAGAAAAAAACATCAAATAAACCAACGCTTTTTTGGCGATATAAATGATAAATGGAATATAAAATGACACACACACACACACACACACACACACACACACGTTTTATAGTCATAGATTTGTTTCAATAGAAAAATAAATGATAAAACAATTTGTCGCAAATTTTGACTGACTGGCGCCAGAATTGATAATTGATGATGATGTTGATGATGATGGTAAATGAAATGTCAAATGACAAAATGTGTGTGTGTGTGTGTGTATGTGATATAGACAACACACACACACACATTATAGGACAGGTTAATTAAGGTAGGAGACGACAAAAAACTTGAAAATTTAAAGGTAAATTCAATATACACAGATACACAAACACAAACACACTGGACGCATGAGTATCATCATCATCATCAAACAATTTTGACAGCTGTCAAACAAAATGATGATGATGATACAATTTATTCAGTGAAAACAAAAACAATTCAATTCCATTTCTCAATTGACCAAATGTTAAATTTTTGAGTGCGTGTGCGCAAATTAAACATAATATAAACAAACAAACCAATAAAATCAATGTTTTCCAACAAGAAATTGATTCGTTGTTTTGTTGTTGTTGTTGTTGTTGTTGTTTTTGTTTGATGGCCTGTTTTATATTGATGTTAATGTGTTATTTATATATTTTTTCTATCGATCAATAATGGTGTGAATGCATCGAAAATCAACAAAATAAGATTCCCATTGAAAGTTGCCACAGAAATTAGACATTTTTCACAAAAGAAAAAACAAAACAAAACAAAAACAAAAAAAACATTACAGACAAGCTCCATTAGTCTTAAATGATGATGAATATTTGAATCTTGGCGGCGGACATCTTTTGGATCACCAATATTGCTCTCTCTCTCTCTCTTCATCGCTGTATGAATTGAAAAATTACAAATAATCACCAAAAAAAAAACTGACTGACGCCAAAGCCATTTACCCATCACCATCATCATCATCATCAGACAAATTTTACGATGTTTAACGTTGCCAATTTTTGTTTTTGTCGTCTATCAATCAATATTTACAATCGGTAGATTCATCTCGGATTTTTTTTTTTTATTTCAAGCAATTGAATGCATGCACAGAAAAAAACACCTTAAACACACACAGGTATGGATCGAGCAATTTCAATAACAACAACAACGACTGAAAAAAGTCTTTTTTTTTTTTTTTTTGTTAGCCGCGTCTGAAAATTATTTTGGCGGCCATGATAATAGACACATGATTATCGTCAACTCTATAGGCTGAAGAAATGACTAACTGGCTGACTGACTGATTGATTGAATGGCTGATTTCATATCTTATCATCAACCAGGAGGCATTAGAAAGAAATGTCTTGAAATTTTTTTTTCCAAAGAAAAAAAAATTAAAATCAACCATCAAATGTTGTGGATGAAATCTTTTTTTTTGTTTGTTTGTTTGTTTGTTTGTTGTTCAAAATTTTAAAATTGATGAATATTCACCATCGTCATCATCAACAAGTCGTAAATATTGGTGGTAAAAATTATCGATCATCAAAACTATATAGCAATTGTCAATGGAAATAAAAAAAATGATCAATTGAAATCGATCATCATCATCATCAATTGTTCAAAATGGCTCAAACACAGAGACATTATTTACATTTTATTTTATTTTTTTCGTATTATGATGAATGAATCGCATATAAATCGACGATAAATTCGTCATAATCATCATCATCATCATCGTCGTCGTCAATAAAAATAACAAAAACATTATCATCATCATCATCATGCAATTCTGCATTCGAAACGAATGGAAATGAATGAATGAATGAATATGCAAAATTTACCGAAAAAAAAACAAACGCAACAATCAAACAATTTCATGTTCTCGGAAAAAAAAAAAAAAAAGAAAAACATTTTCACGAAAACAAATCAAAAACAAACAAACGAAAACAGAATGAAAAAAAACAAGCCGAACAGGTCGACAATTTGACGATTGGCACGTTAACGGCTCATTCATTCATTCATTTATTTGGATGTTGAATTGTTGTTGTTGTTGTTGTTATAAGCAATAACAATAACAAAAACACCATTAACAACAACAACAACAACAACAACAACAACTAAATAATAATAATAAAAAAATTCTTCAATAGATTTATAAAGCGCGAAAATAAAAAAATTCCAAGGTCATCACACTATCATCTATTTTCATTCTTTCATTCTAGAGAGAATAATATATTATTGATTATTAGAATTTTTTTTTTTTTGCGAGATTTGAATTTTTATTTTTCAAATAATAATAAATGATCAGTAAACGACCGCACACATTGATGATCAATCAAAATATCATTTGATTGATCAATAACATCATCATCATCATCGTCGTCATAATCTTTGTATTTTTTTTTTACACGAAAACACACCAACAACAAACAAACATAATAATTATTATCACTATTGAAAAGCTTTGAATATCAATGTTTTGAAATGAAAACAACTGGAAATACAAAAAAAAACAACAACTTTGAATATTGCAGTAGTATCGATCTTCTTCTTCTTCTTCTTCGATCATCATCAACACTTGGAGTGGTCGTGTTTGAAGGTTATTAATTTTTTTTTTTTTCCATTTTGAAAAGCCGATTGACACATGTAAATTAACCACAATTGTGTCATCATCATTTATCGATGATGTGGAAGTGATCACGATGTGTGAGTTTTTTTTTTTTTTTATTATATATCACCGATTCAATCCAGAAGAAAAAATCGAATTGAATTGTATAAATTCTGACAGTCAATATAATAACGATGATTTACACATGTCTCTCAAATCAACGTGTGAGTGTATTTTTTTTTTGCAAATGAGAAAAATGTATAAACTTCGAACAATCATCATCAATCAATCAATTGAGAGAAAAAATTTCAAACTTACATGTCCACTTTTATCCATTTCATTATTGGTCAATTTAACCTTTTCAAATGAGATCACTTGTTTACGTAGCTGTTCAATTGAATACGGTGTATCCGGATGTATATATAAACGTGATGGTGATGGTGGATCTGCTTTACCGGCAACTAGCCATGAACTACGATGATATGCATAACGATAACGTTTATTATCGATTGGTATTATATCCATACAAACATAGAATCGAACATCATTTTGATGATGATGATTATGATGATGATGATGTGGATTATGGGCCAACATTGATGCGATTGTCGTTTCAATGCCGGAAAATGAACAACGTAATGTTGGAAACATTCGTCTAAGAAGAAAAAGAAGAAAAAAAAGAAAAAAATAAAACAAAAAAAAATTTATTAATATTGTAACAGTGAATGGACATTGGCCACTAGAGTGTTATAATTAATGATATTTTGTAAATGAACGAAAAAAAAACACATTTCGGGTTCAGGTCGGCTTTTCTACTCTTCAATCATGATGATGATGATGATGATGATCAAAATCCATTGATGATGATGATGATGGTGTAATTGGTCAGGCGGATCAAGTAAGAGATTAATTGTTTTTGTTGTTGTTCATTCCACCATGGTACTACTACTAGTAGAGTGTACCATGTCCAAATTGACCACAAAAGAAAAAACGCTTTTTTTAAGTAATTTTGTAAATTTAAAAATCGTTCCACATACACAGAAAAAGGACATTTTTTTGGGACCAGGTGCAACAAAATTGATTATCATTATCTATGGTCATGGTCTGATTTTCATTTTCATTTTTTTTTGCTGGTCCCTTTGGCCTGCAAATCTGCATAATTAATTGCCACTTATAATTGGGCCGACTACCACACACACACACACACACACACATCTGTCAAGAAAAAAACAATTTGTCTCTCTTTCTGGGAATCGTTGTTGTTTATCACGTGTTCGTTTTTTCGTTTTCAAAGAAAAAAAATTTTTAATTCAAGAAGATGAAAAAACTCAAAGAATAACACCTTGTTCATCATCATCATCATCATCAGAAAAAATGAATAAATCGTGAAATTGACCATCGGTCAATAACTTTGATAAACCCAAAGAAAATAAGTGATTGCTTACACACACACACACACACACACCCCTCATTCAATACCAATAAAGGTAAAAGTGCCAAAGTGGTAATTATTAATACAACAACAACAACAACAACAATCATATTTGATGATGATTATCATTATGATAATTATATAGTTTTCATTATTATTATTTCCACAGAAAATCAAAGCAACAGCTACACCTCTTATTTCAATCTAGGATGGATCATCATGATGATCATCAACATTTTTTCTTTTTGAATCTTTGATTTGGAGCCAATTAGCCATTATTATCATTTTAAGATGGAAAAATATACCGGCGGCACCAATATATCTATATTCACACACACACACACACACACCAGGGCATCTAATCTTCCATCATCATCATCACCATCATTGTTGATCTCAAATTTCACACACACACACACACACACATATGAATACAATCCTTGCTCTGAAGATTCACAAGTTGGCCAGTTATTTTTTTTTACACGATCACACTTCAACCATCATCATCATCATCATCATCATCATCGATGGATGTTGAGAAATCTTGTTTTTCTTATGTTTTTAATCAGCCAACCAAACCAACCAACCAACCAACCAAATAATGATAATAATAACAATGTTGAATAACTTCTTAATAGATACTAGATATTGAAAAGGCGAGGCAATGTGAATGAACCATCATCATCATCATCATCATCATTATCATCGATAGATAATCCTATCCTTATGGACAATAATGATAATGTGTTATTATTGCCAACAGATACACACACACACACACACACACACATATGGTTGGTTGGCAATGGTGAATGAACACACACACACACACACAATGTGAGAAATGCTCGATTCGATCAAAACATTAATCAATCAGGATGTGTGTGTGTGTGTGTTCGATCAATAATACAAAAAAAATCTTTAGATATTGAAATTTCATTTATATAGGGCTTAATATTGAATTAATTTTTTTTTTTTTGTTGTTGTTTCTGTTTCTGTTTAGACAGAAATTTAACACTATCACACCATATCAACATAATTATCAAATTCGAATTCAACAGGTTAAATAAAAAATGGTTTCATTCATTCAAAAACAGAAAACAAAAAATTTATCAATTCAGTTGAATCAAAAGTCAATGTTTTTTGTTAGACATGCGTGTCAGGGCGTTAATGTTACGCATTAATTTGCTCTATAACCAAAAATAAAAATAAATAATGTGACGCCATTGTGTGTTGTCATCATCATCGTAATCATCATTATCAAAACATTTTTTTTCGGTGTTCTAAAAGCAAAAAAAAATTTTTCCAACCCAATCTGATCATAATTTTATGGACCATTTCAATATTTTGTAATCGTGATTCTATATGATTCTGTGATAATGAATTTTTGGCCAGAAAAAAAAGAATCTTCTACATTTAATCATTACTAGTGGTTACTATTTATGGATTCTTTTTCATCACAAACGAACAAACAAACAAACAAAAACATTTGCCGCTTCAAATATTATTTTCTTGAAGGTCATAGGTCATATCATATACATCAAAAAAAAAAAAAAACAGAAGACATTTGCCGACAGAATTTTTGTCTTCTTTTTCTTCTTCTAATCAATTTGATTAACCAGTTCATTCTGTTATTATTATTGTGTTTGATGATTATGAAAGCCTTTCATGGCAATATACAATAAACACACACACACACACACACGCACACAAAAATACCGACAAACAAAAGCAGTAAAAGTGTTAAACCAGATGGATCTATTCATTTTTTTGGATAACTTGTAAACTCACATAATCGAAGCAGAATCAAGAAAAAACAACACACAAAACCATAATGATGTTTTTTCAAAAATACAGAATTTTCAAAAAAATTGATTTTTTTTGCAGAGAAAATTGAAAATTCAAAACCGCACGGGAAATCAATTCCGATTTTTTTTTCATCTCCCGATCCTATTTGATTGTGCCGAATTTGTATAACAACAACAACAATAACAACGAAAAAAATTCGTGAGAACGTGAACAACAACAACAACAAACAAGTAAAAGCACGCATTCTCGTTCAATTGATTCGGCATTTTTTCTTTATCATTTTTTTCGTTCATTCATTTAAAAAAGAAATCAAATGTTTGGGTGTTTGATAATTAAAATTCATTAACAAGCCAACATCATCATCATCATCATCATCATCGTAATCATTAACGATGAACCGACAAACTGAAAAACAAAACAACAGCAAAATATTACAGCTTTGGGTGCTAAACAAAAGTTAGGTGGAAAAAAAACAATTTTTTTTTCTTCTGGTCAAAGAGCAACAGATTGAGAAGAGAAAAAAAAACTTTGGACATTTGGGTTTTCATCATCATCATCATCATCATCAATGGTTTACACCATCCATTATTCACTATAGCCATCATCATCATTGAAAGATTGAATAAATCTGAATTGTATTCATGAAAAAATAGAGAGATAGATGTTGCTTCTGCAGTTCATCGTCATCATCATCATCATATTTAGTGGGTAAACGAGAGAATGAAAATTTTTACAAGAAAATAAAGAAAAAATCTACCGACTGACAGAATGAAATTATTAGCTCATGATGATGTTGATGATGATGATGAATTTTTTTTTGATGTTTTACCGACGAAATACGACAATGATGATGATGATGATGATGCTATATTTATAGAAAGACACCTTGAATTTACAAGTGAACAGAGAAAAAAACCATTACCAGCAGCAGCATCAATAATAATATGACTATATAACAGCATTACACTACCACAATCAATGATAACAACAACGTATCTATTAATAATTGATTCGGGTTATTATTTCCCATATATTGATCATCACTGGTTGTTGTTTTTTTTTCTGTTCAATTTACACTTGTTTTTTTTCCATTGATTATCAGCGAAAATTCATTTTCAATTTTTTTTTTCATTCCAACAGAGGTAGAGAGAGAATTGGTTCCGATTCTTTTATTTCATTTTTTTTTCTTTTTTTGATTGGCATCATTACCATCATCATCATCATCATCATCATCATGTAATGATTGACTAATGATGGCGGTGGAAATGTGTGACTAGATTGTAAATTGATCAATAATTTTTTTCCTTTGATTTTAATCATCGATGACGAATAATGGCAGTGGTGAATAAAAAAAAAAAATTTTTTTTTTTTTGTTCAAAAATTCCATTCAAGTGAGAAGAAAAATTTTCATTTTTTGAAATAATCAGATTATCAAGAATGAGGGTATATAAAACATTCAACACCAAGTTCACACACACACACACACACACACGCAGACACAAATTGAATGAGCAGAAAAAGACACCTGAACAATTAGAGTGAAAATTTTTTTTTTCTACCTGAGACAAATTGTCCATATAATGTATGTATGCATTTCGGCAACAATGTCTTTTTTTCCATTTGTTGTTGCTGCTGCTGCTTGCTTCTAACCTGTAATTTTAAGTCACATGAAATAAAAAGCCGCCCAATAATTATATTTGAATGAATGAATCAATGATAAACACGAGTTGATCATCATCATCAACGATAACAAATGAATCATCATTAGTGTAAAAACAAAACAAAACAAAATGAAGCCGAATAATTTCTGTTCATGTTTGAGCATCATCATTTACAAATTTTTTTTTTTTTTTTTTTTTCGAGAAAAAGTAGCGGCACATTTTGAAGTTGGCCACAAAAAACTTAAAGTATAAGGGGGGTTTTCATGGAAAAAACAAGAATCGAGCCGACGATTGTTTTTTGGAATTGAAAAAAAATTCTATACTTATGATGATGATTATGATGACACAATCAGAATACAGGGGCAAATCAAGTTAAATTGATCGAGCAAAAATCAAAAATTTAAAATGTATCATCCTCATCATCATCATCATCATCATCATTCACATGAATTTTGCCGACAAACAAGTGCAAACAAAACAACAACAACAACAACAACAACAACAACAACAACAACGACAAGTGAAAAAAATGTTTTTAATGATGATGATGATCAATGTTAAAATAGTTGTGTTTTTTTTTCTTCTCTGAAAGAATGCCGCATTCTATTAAATAATAATAAATAAGTATGTATGTCGGTTGAAATAGTCTCTAATCAAGACGATGATTATTATTATGATCATAATGATGATGATGATGATCAGAGGCGGCAGCGGCAAATAGTTTTTTCTTTCTAGTCTCTGCTGTGGTGGTGG